ATTTTGGTATATTTAAAGGTAAATTATGGTACAAACGAAAAATGTCATACGGCAACCATAGTCAGCACACACTAAAGTAAACAAACTGGAGATTAATAGCAAATTAACGAAAAATAAACTCAATGAATGTTGTGCTTATTAAATTTACGCACTTTTTAGTTGTATACTAGCATTGATAATAAACATTTGCTATAATAACTCAAAAAGGCCATATTTTCTTTTGTTTATTTACAAACATGTGTTTGTGATCAGCTGATTTTCTTACTTACAAGTTTTAGCTGGGAAAAATTTTTCCAGCAGAAATTTGCAGCTCTCTTTCACATTTTGCTCTCTCAATTTCCCCTACTTTGCAAGCTTTTTGGGTACGAGAACGCAAAACCAGTAAAAGTTTTCTAAAACTTTAGATAGTTGGGCGTACGAGTACACACCTGATGTCTGCACTGAACGGCTCATACCCTACAAGAAAAAATCATCAATTGATAAAAAATCACCCAATTGTATTTAGCTTTTTTGCGGGATTTCTATAAAAGCTCTGATCCAGTACTCCATGAACTTACAGGATTTTACACGAACTTGCGGGAAAAATGTTCCCGTACTCCGAAATCCGCCAAAATCCTGTAAATGAGAGCGACTTTTGGAGAGTTGTGTAGAGAATGAAGTTGCAAGATTTTACAGGAAAAAACATCAACCATTGATTGCTTGACACTTTTCATGATTTTACCAGAAGAAAAAGTTCGGGTAAAATCTTGCAACTTCATTCTCTACACAACTCTCCAAAAGTCGCTCTCATTTACAGGATTTTTGAGTACGGGAACATTTTTCCTGCAACTTCGTGAAAGTTCGTGTAAAATCCGGTAAGTTCATTGAGTACTGGGTCCGAGCTATTGTGGCGAATACCATGATGCAATAATACAGGTGTTATCAGTTGGCAACTTCTCGCTCTAATTCCGCCATATTGACTGCCTTACGTGAAACAGTGTTACTTCTTTAACTATTCTTTGCCCATTAATATAGTTGAATGCTTTTTATTTTTTTTCAGTATACAAACTTTGTTTTCTTAAAAAGGTATTTTATCTTATTTTATTTCATTTCATAACGAATATACTATAAAAAAGCAAATTTTGTTAAGGAGAAAATGTGAAATTTTATATTTTTCCCCCATATGGGGATTCATTTCTTCCCGGTTTTCTTCTCATTCTACTGAGCTAAGGCAGTGTCAAATCGAGCTGTCACAACTGATACCACCTTGTATTATTGCATCATGGGCGAATACTGCGGCAACACAAAGCGAACAACGAGAAATAGGCAGAATGTTCAAGGAATGACGTAGAATGTAATGTAATGTACAACTAAAGTGAGCAGAGAAGTGTGTTGCGGATAAGCAAGCTATAAGTTTAATTATGTTAACAAGTTTAGTAAAGCGTTGTTATTGCTTTAACAAGTATTGTAAAGTGTTTTTACTGTATTAGCGAGTAATGTAAATTGTTTGTTGTACAATAAAGTTAATTGTACTACAATTTGGTCAACGTTAGCATTTATTTAACAATCCAGCGATACGAACCGAGAGATTTGGGAAATCCGGACGAGGTTTCAAGGATAATCGTAACAATATATAACTTGTAGTTAGCTAAAGTAAAAGCTAACTTGAAACTACTTGCCAAGTAATGCAGGAGTAATGAAGGAGATTGTTTTCTTTAAATGCGTTTCTATTCATATATTATGCACTTCGCAAATACTTTTTCGAATTGAGGACAAATAAAAGGAAGATCGAAATTTCATATTATCATTTTGAAGTTATGTCTGACGGTGTTCGGATATGGGACCACCTACAGCAGAATATGGAAACAAATATTAAATGTAGTAAAATAAATGAGTAAATAAATATAAAAAAATAGAAAAAAAAAAAAATATTCAGTTTCATTTTCCCCGAACCGGTTCACTTTTCACTCTTGTTTTCCATGGTTTTACTATGGGCGGATGACAAATTTTCGGGTAAATTTTTTTGCATGTGAAACTCAGGATAAGGCAGATTGTTTTTCCTATTGATATTTTATGTCCAAAAGTAGTTAGTTACAAAATAGTTACACCAAATGCAGAGGTAACTACCCAGGACTACATCTAATGCAGAGATAAACTACCTTTGACTATTTCGCGTTAGCTTTCGTCAAAGAAAATTACAGATAATAAGTGACTTTTAGCTCCTTCTTAATCAACTTAAAGTGAGCTTTTAGTTAGATTCATTTCCTGCAGGGTATGTACATACATGCATTTGCATACATTTGTGCAGCACGTATTGGATGCACTTCACAGCTGCCACGCGACACTTGAAACCCGGTAGATTTGCCAAAGCGGCTTAATAAGGCCATATAGTGTTTAATAGCTCGTAACTCGGCACATAGGACACTCATATCAAACAAATATCGTTTTCTATGTATCCATATGTAATTAACCCACAACACAAGTCTACAGAATTCGCCAACAGCATGCATATTCAACATACATATGTAACTATGTAAATAGTTCCTCTATAAATAAAAATTACCTTTTAGTTAAATCCTTAAAACACAATTAGCTACTGGTTCTATTAGTTTTCACTGCTGCACTCGCTTCCTCTAATAATTAATTGATAAAAAAATATGAGCGCGGTGACTCGAAATTTTACAAAGGAATCAAAACAGCTGATTCGGCAAAAAAACAGAGTTTCTGTTGTGACAAAAAAGTACTTTTTAAGTGTATAACACTTAGCGGCTGTCAATGGAAATGAGCATTAGTACAAACCCACTAAGTTAAATTTTTTTTAATTAGAATTTCGAAGAGTAAATTTATTTTGAAAGTTCTTATGCGCACGTTTTCATTCTTAGGGCCGTTTTCCCAAGTAGCTTTTAAAATGTATCTGCCTTATAAATCTACCTTTTTGAGAACAAAATGTGTGTTTAAGGTGGAGATAGATTTTAAAAGCTACTTGAGAAAACGAGCCCTTAGTATATAAGATAAGAAACAAAATATGCATATACTTTTTTCAATTTTTAATTCATTACATGCGTAGCCTACTTAAGTCTAACATAAAATCAAGTCGGAAGTAAAATCACAATTCATTTCAAACATTTAAACATAAATGGACAATACGCGATTCATTTAATAACATCAAACATTTCTAATTTAGAAAATGGTAAAAATTTTGAATACAAGCTGTTTCGCATGAATTTGAAATACATATTTGAGAAATTCCTGATATAGAAAATTTCAAAATTTTTGGTTCATATGAATATGAATATATATACCACTAAAATCATAAGTAATCTCGGCCAAACATTAACATATGTCGTAAGCGCCAATCTATTATTATTTATATATTTATAAGTAGAATTACGTTTATGGATTTCTTTATCACAGATACATGTAGTCATCTTATTGTAATTGTTCCATGGCTCTAAGGGCTGACTCTTCGTCTATATCTGGAATTATAGATTCAAACATGCTTTTTGGAAAAGCAACATTTCCGATCATTACAACTTCATTTGGGTCTAACGACGGTTCCAAGCTACTAATTATATCATTGCTAGCAGATGGCATGCTCAAAAGAGTGGGTGCTACAGTGGGCATTCCGCTCATTAAAACAGTGTTTGCTTGTTGCTGTTGAACTGCTACTTGGGCAGAAGCTGCTGCTGCTGCTGCTTCCAACTGAAGTTTTTGCATTTGCATCATCAATCGTGCATTGGCATCCAAGTGGGAGTGACGAGCTCGTATGTGTTTGTCACGATCGCCGCGTTGACGGAAGTTTTTCGTACAGAATAAACAACCGAATGGCTTCTCTCCTGTATGGATACGTTGATGATTTTTTAACGCATCAGCACGATAAAATCGTTTGCCACACTCTTCGCATTCGTAGCGTCGCTCTCCACGATGTATAAGACGGTGTTGGTAGAAAACGGAACCTGTTAAGAAGCGCTTTCCACACACCAAGCAATGATAGGGACGTTCACCAGTATGACATTTGCGTATGTGGTCATTCAAATCAGGACGAATCGTGAATTTTCGGGTGCAACCGGGTTCTTTGCATGCAAAGGGTTTTACTCCTTCAAAAGTAAAGTTTTTTAATAATAACGGCGAGTTCTTACTCATTTAAGTAGCTCTTTTACCTTGATGAAAACGCAAATGCTGCCATAAATGGCTTGATTGTGTATAAGACTTGCCGCACATATCACATAAGTACTGGCGAGTCTTGCTTGATGAGCCTGTGCCATCTTTGTCGCGTTTATACTTTTTATAATGCTTCTCTTCATAATGAGCCACACACTCTTGGGCATACTCAAATACTACATCGCAATATTCACATGGTAGTTGCAAAACGCCGAGACATTTGTTCAGCCGTGGGAAAAAGTGATATGCTGTGTATCTTTTTTAAAGCAAAATTGTTTATAAAGATATTTACTCGTTATTCATTTAATACCTACCGATGTTCATGTAACAGATCAAGTGACTGAAACTTATTTTCGCAAACATTACATACAAAATATCGCTGAAGGGTGGCTTGGTGTACTTTCAAATTCTCCCGCGTGAAAACACACTCAGCTTGCCAATGTGCGCAAATTTCCTTGGACGTTCGCACATGAATATCGCATGCGAAGCATTCAAAACGGCGTTCCGGCAAATGAAAAGCCGAATGAACAAACAAATATGATACCTCTGAGAACACAAAATCACAAAATTCGCACTGCAAAATACAGCTCAAGATAACCATTTTGAGATACATCGGAGGCTTATCTTCATAATTTGTTAAAGCACCTGAACTACTTTTAGCCTAGAAGGTTTCAATTTAGCTATTATGGCATATATTTTTATTATTCTTTTACCTCGGTTAATAAAAAATTCATAGCATCATCCACATACGATTCATACGGGATTTCGGCGCAATTATCAAACTCCTTTTCTTCCTTCATGCTTCCCGGAAAATGAGAACATAAATGATTGAATGCAGCATATGGTTCGAAGAATATTCGTCCACACAAAGTGCATTTAATGACCACTCGTAAGCCGTTAACGCTTTGGAGGGAACTACCTTGCGATGCAGCCGTTTTGCCTCCAGATGAAGCACCCGGTGTTGGAATGAGATCCATTGCATGTTTCTCCATATGTCGTAATAAGCCTGAAGCATGAACAAATTTGCGCTCACACAGAGTGCACTCATGTGGTCCATCTTGCTTTTTTGAATTATTGTTAGACGAGTTAGAACCAGTAGCTCCGTTAGAGGTATTACTGCCTATAGTATTATTGGAGTTGGTGATGTTGTTATTGATCGAGGCGTTAACATCATATTTAAGTTCGTCCTTTAGAAAACGACGAATACGAATTTGATTTTCACGTAATAAGCGAATACACGCTGGTTCGAGAGGTAAAATAGGCTCTTCCTTTATTGGCTTATTAACGGGCGTTGATGTAGATGAAGGAGGTATAATTAGATTATGATGTTCATCGTAGTCACAGATATGAGATTGAAAGGATATTATGTCAAAGAGACAGTTGCAATTCGAACATTTCACAATGCGATAAGCAGTCGCAGGAGATTCAGGGGGTATATATAGTTTAGTATCTAGAGCGACTTTAAAATTAATAAAGATCAAATGATCATAGTGTATATGTATATAGAAATTATTTCTATTAATGCATAACCACATACCAAACTGATTACTTTGCGGTTGCGATTCGAGATATTTCAGAAGCTTTAACTCGTCCTCTGTGGCATCGAATGTCTCCACTATTTGTTTTGGTGTTTCAGTAACCATTATAGAACTTTCCGCAACCGGTGCAGTAAACGGGGTTAATGGGATTGTCCCAACTAAATCCAATAGGGCTGCATCAGATCCTCTACCAGCTATATTACTCAAGTCAAGAACGTCATTCATGTCGAACGGTGTAATATTCGTCGGCGTCGGTAGCTTAAACACCGATTCAAAATTATCGATTCTGGCTTTTGTTAAATCTTGTGGCTCATACTCCCGCAAGCAATTGAGACTACCAGACGGAAACATAAACGCCGCCGAAGTATCCGGCATAGACTTTTCTCTGTAGTCTGAATTAAATTCCTTTAACTGTGCGAACAATTGCTCCGAAAGCCATGCATCGGAATTAGTGAACTCTTCCTCACTTGTATTCATCATGGCTTATATCTTTTAAGCGCTTGATTAATCAAATATAAACGAAGAATTGCAGTCAAGACCGCCTTTCCGTATGTTTTTTTCTTTTTTAAAAAATATGGCGTCTTGACAACAATCGCCAGCCTACTATGCGAAAGTTTTTTATCAGGTTTAGATTCACTTGCCAAAAAATCTTGTCAGTAAGTTATCAATATTACGTAAAATTCGAAATTAATGTATATGATTTAATTCGTATTACTTAATGCAACATCCTTTTTATAAAGTTTTATTAAATCGTAATTCAAAAGCTTTTTGCAACGGTTCCAATCCCTATCGCTTTTCGTTTTCCAACACTGCACATTCTAATTCTGGTGTTCACCGCAAATATCTGATTGCTGTCAAGACCGCAAGAATACCTCGATGCAATAATAAAAGGTGCTATCGTTATTATTAGGTGTTAAAAGGTGTTATTATAGGTGTTATAAAATAAATACTGACCGTGTGACAGTGCCCGTTGGAAGCTTGTATATGAGAACGCACCCAACCAAAGCAAACGACGACGTTCGTCCGACGACTGTAGACTGAGTGTCAATTTACAAGATCCACCCAGGGTGAAAAGTTATGTTTGATTTCGCGATTCGCTCCGCTTTAAAAATGAAGACGAATGAGTTGACCAAAGAAAATTTTAGGCTTAAATGTCAAAAATACGCAAGAAACGCGCAAAGAAAAAATCGTCGTGTGAATGCACGAGGATTTTCGAAGACTATTTTAAAAGGGAACGTGCCAAAAACACAGGGTGAAAAGTCGTCATGTAAATTGGCTCTTATTTCTATCGTCGTCACCTGCGGCAGCGGCAAAATTCGATCCATTGTGGCCATATGCTAATTATTCTCCAGTTTTTAAATCGAAATTGAAAACTACTGTGTTAGTTTTTATTAAAAACTAGATCGCCCTCACCCGCTTCGCTGAGTGTATGAAATTTCTACGTGTTACATTGAGTAAAATTTATTATAAAAAAACTCAATTAAAAAACAGGAGGTTTAAAATTTGTTTAACCATCTTCAAAATATTTTCAAACAAAAACTTTCTTAAACTTCTCACTTCTCATACTTTTCAATTAACTTATCCCCTGAACTCAATTTGAAATTTTAAACAGATGGAAACCTCTTACATGTAGTTTTGAAATAAAGCCCATTAAAAATCATTTCGATTGATACCCACATTGTAATAATTCGTTTAAATTATTGAATAGTTTGAATTTAACCTTTTAAACAGTTGACAACCTTTTTAAACCTCTTTCGTCTGACACTCGTATTCAAAATCATTTCGATTCGTACCAATCTTCTATAATCTGTAATCTATAATAATATATATTTTTAACGGCGTTTTTTTTTTTTTGTGTTCGCAAAGCTCGAGAACGGCCAACCCGATTATTTTGAAATTTCGGACACCTGCTTCGGACGTCCGAGGGATGGTTATAGGCTGAATAAATTTCGATATATAAAGGGGGCGAGGCACCTCCTATACAAACCGATTTTTTCTTACTTTATGTCTCTGGAAGTGTTCATAATAGAATACCCGAACTTGGTACGGCAATATATGAAATCAATCTTATAGTCATGGAGAAAAATGGTGAGTGAAATCCTTGTAAATACCCGGACCGTTTTTAACGAAGTTTTTTGTGTACTTCTAAGTGTAGTTTCACAATTTAACCCGCAAGTTGGCACTGGAGTTAAGTTAGTCCCCTTTCAGACACGTCAAGTCTTGCTTTCAAGTCTGCTCGTTCGCTGGCGAAGGGGGTGAGAAGAGAGGGGAAGAGTACAGATACCTCCGTACCGTCAATTCGTTTCAAGTTTTCTTGTCTCTTTTGATCTTTTCGTTGCTTCCCATTTAAAGAACCAAGGACTTGAATTCAATTAAAGTTGACGCGTGTGGAAGCAAATAGAAAACACAAAAGAGAATGCGAAAAATTGCTTTCAAGACTTGAACTTGACTTGGGGACATATTACTAAAAATCTTATTTATGATCGACTTTGGCTAATGTTCAAAATATGTATTGCCAATACTATTGCCACAAAAGGCTGCAAAGTGGCGCTGGATTCATTGCGAATAATCGCCAAGTTAGAAAAGGTGCCGTGGATGTCAGATTAAATCGACCTGTTGCACCAATAAGTATATCGAGCTCTTATGTGTTACAATTGGCCCAATGGATGTGATTTGCCAGTATTATTATGCATTAAAGCTTCATTCCGCGACACCAGGGCTGAGTTGTGCAGGGGTAAATTTCAAATCACCACCGATAAATCAACCGCCAGAACCATTGCGCGCCTTTTACAGTAATATTTAATTTAGAATAATTGAATTAAATTTTTAAAAAGGTGGCAAACCTTGCGAAAGGCTTAAATATTATTTAAATTTTAAAACTTAAGGTTTCTTGCCAATATTTCGTTAGACAACCATGTTTGATATCATGAGATAGCTTGCATATAATTAATTTAAATTTGACTTTTCAAACAGGTGGCAACCCTTTTCAAAATATATTTGAACTAAAGCTTTTTTAAGCTTCTTAACATCCATTTTTTAATATAATTTTCAAATAAACAACTCCCTTAATTACAGTTGAATTTGATTTTTTTAAAAGGTGGCAGCTCTCATCCATGAGTAGATAATAGTTGCGTTCCAGTAGCAGTACGAATAGCAGGTTTTGCAGGATTTTACAGGATTTACAGAAACAGCTGTTTTCGCCATTAATAAACCTTATGTAAGGTGTCGTGCGGAAACAGCTTCCTGTAAAATCCCGTAAATTCCTGCTATTCGTACTGCTGCTGGAACGCAACTAATGATTTTATATATCTCCATATCAAGTTCCAGTAACCTATCAAAAATATTTCCTGAGAAATGCAGTATGAAATATTCCGTTTGTATGGTTTGTATTTTAAGTTGGGCTAAATGACAGCAATGTACAAAATTTCATGATGATCGGTTGAGTAGTTAAAGCGTGAAAGCGTAGCAAACATCTTAAGGCTGATTCACACACAACTTTCTTCGCTTTGCTTGATAGTTCTTTGCTTTGACATATAAGATCGATGTATGCATATGCATGAGCACATAAAAAACGTTTGAAGCAAAGCAAAGCAAAGCGAAACAAAATCTTGGGCAACTCTCAACTTTTGCCCGCTTTGGCAATCAGCTGTCTACATTTATCTTTTCTTGTGCGCTAACATTTGCATTTAATGAGAAAAATAGGGTAAATAGGAATTTGTATTGCTATCGTTAATGCATATTATTATATTGCTATCTATTTTACAGATAAAAAATTTGGAGCAAAAGGAGAACGCAAAACCTGTCAAAGCGTTTATTGTAGCATACCTTCTGCGTTTCGCGCTTTGTTGTCAAAGTTTGAACTGTCAAGCAAAGCGAGGAAAGTTGTATGAGAATGGCCCTTTATTGCTTGCAAAAATTTTAATTGTACCTAGTCATAAGCAGCTGAATTCGTCGTCGCCGTAGTTGTGTTTTACTGTGCGAAATTTTTTGGCGATATTTTAGGTGAAACAGTTAAACGGCGTTTTCACGTCAACCGAATCACGTGGTTCGCTCTCTCAATTATGAACGGCGAATCAACCTGTTTACACGACACATTCCTGATTCACTTTGCATCTCTGCTTCTGGTTCTTTGCTTTTTCTTAGTCGATGTTCAGACACGAAAACTTTTGTTGCGGAAACTCGAAGCTTGTTGGGGGGAGAGCGACGAGGAAAGGGGACCGGTACCGAGTCGCCCGTACTCGGGAAACAAGCTTTGTGCTCTCGCTCGTCTGAGTAATTTAAGTAGGCGGTTCACAGCTGACAACAACAATTGCGTACGAAAGAGTTTCTGTGTGTGAACGCAAAGGGCAACATCAAAAGAGAAATCGCCGATATTAAGCAACTCGAGTTTCCGTGTTTAAACGCAGACTAAGGGCCGGTTTCTCCATCTCTGGATAACACTAACTCCCCGGTTAAACATTGTTATCGACGTTCTAACTCCATGCATATAACAGGGAGTCGATAAGGTCGGTAACGATGTTTACCGGGGGATTAGTGTTAACCGGAGATAGAGAAACCGGCCCTAAATGTTTAATGTGCTGTGCGTACGCAAGAATTTCTCTCACAGGGAACACTTTTCAGCGAGTAAGAGCGCAACTGTTCCCAGTCAGAAGTTACAGGATTTTGCCCGAAGTTTTTCTTCCTGCAAGTTCATTAAAAGTGTCAAACGATAGGCAAAGCGAACAACGAGAAATAAGCAGAATGTTCGATGAATGACGTAAAATGTTCCACAATGAGAAAACGTCAAGTGGATGAACACTGCGAACAGCGAGAGAAAGAGAATGAGCGATGAACTTCAGAACATTCCAGAGTTGCCATGAGTGCGAGCGCAGGTATATAAGGGCGCCATCAGACACCGGAGTGAGTTAGTTACAAGTCAGCAAGCGACAAGTAAAGTGAGTTGCGAATAAGCAAGCTATAGGTTCAGTTGTGTTAACAAGTTTTGTAAATTGTTTTAATTGCCTTAACAAGTATTGTTAATTGTTGTCATCTCATAAAAAGTATTGTAAAGTGTTTGTTGTACAATAAAGTTAATTGTACTGCAGTTTGGTCATCGTGAGTATTTATTTAACAATCCAGAGAGACGAACCGAAAGATTTGGGAAATCCCTAACCCCACGTCTCCACCTTCTACAGATTCTGTTAAAAAAGCTGTAGTAAGATAAATGTCAGGTGAAGACTGTAAATTTCCACTGTTAAACCATATCTGACTACGAACATCAGCTGTCATTTCGTAGTTTGACAACTCTGTTTTCATTTTACCGCGCCATCTACATTGGGTACACACCGATCTGATCATCGTACAGTTTCATAAGTAAAAACACTATCAGCTGATTGCCAAAAAATGCCTACAGCTGAGATCACCTGCTTTTTGGCATGTGCTCTTGTCTTTTACAATTTCTTTCATTTATATTACAATTTCTTTTATTTCTATTACAATTTATTCAAAATACACTAACACACTGAAACCAAAAACACCAATACACTAACCAAAAATACACCTACAGCCTGCCAAACACACACCTACAGCCTGCCAGGCAAAACTATAAGAAGAAGAGTTACTTTACTTATGGAACTGTACGATAGGTCTGATTGGCTTGATGCCATTCTGAAAGTGATATGTTAAGACAGCAAGTTGCCCACATGAGAAAACAGGACAATGTCAAAACAGATATTTGACAGATCGTCGCCTGGGTAAAAGATTGTCGTATCTTGATTTCGCCAGGTTGTGGGAAATCGCGATTGTAGTTTGGAATGCAATTTCTTATAAACGCGAAGATAGATATTCTCCAAAGTCTCTAAAAATGTTATTAGTTCACAAAATTCTTAAATTATTTAAGTTTTAATGTTTAATATTAATTAGCTTTGAGTTTATGAAGGATTTTCTTTAGAAAAATTTTGTCGTAAGCGTCATTTGCCCACAATTTGGCAGCCACTTTGTATGAAATACGACAAAATGTGATCAAAATTTCTACTAAATTAACGACACTGTGCCGCTGTGGTGTAGTGGTAAGCAGTGCGCGCTTTCACTCATCAACACCTGGGTTCAAGCCCTGGTCAAAGCAACATCGCAAAAAATATAGAAAAAGGTTTTTTCTTAACAGCGGTCGTCCCTCGGCAGGCAATGGCAAACCTCCGAGTGTATTTCTGCCATGAAAAACAGCTTCTCATAAAAATACAATCGCCGTTCGGAGTCGGCGTAAAACTGTAGGTCCCTCCGCTTTGTGTGACAACATCAAGGCGCACGCCACAAATCGGAGGAGAAGCTCGGCCAAACACTAACATATGTGTAAGCGCCAATCTATTATTATTATTAACGACACTTTTTATTCAGTATCTCGGAAAC